CCTGATTGAAAGATGTCTGTGCAGCTCTGCGAGCAGTCTGTAACAAGCTCCAGCTCAGTTGATCATGAATGGAAGCTCTCTGTGCTACAAGGTCGAGCCGTTTCTACGTGCCGTATGGCAGCCTTGTAGAGTAAAATGAAGAGGATAATATATCCATCAGTTTGCAGCTGACACACCAAAGGGGAGCGTGTTCTTGAACCCAGCCCTGCTTTCACAATGACAATGACTCAGCACGGTTTTAATGCCACTTCACATCTTTATTTCTCAACCAGACAAGACACGTGTCCAACTCAGTGTTTTAAAAATAAGATTATAAATGTCAGCCTTCCCCAGAGACGAGCATGCTTCTCAGAAAGTCTGTTGAAATGACCTTCAACCACTTTTATAAATAAGTCAGCTTGTGTTTCAACTCTGAATAAAAAGTCATCATCAGATGTCTGAAGGGAAAAAGGTTTAAACAGCCTGAAACTAAACAAAGTGCTTGTTTATTATGAATATATTAAATGTTCAGAACTAATTTTAAAGGCATTTAAATGAGCAATAATAAAAGGCTGAGACCTTATTCATGTTCACTGTTAAAGAATAAAGAATGGATTAACTCGCTCTGCTCTGACAGAACCCAGCTCATTGGCTGTATGACACATGGACGTAGTCTTAGTGATGTTATCTATTGGCTTCTATGCATTTTGAAGCCCAATCTATCTCTGGTGCTACCAGCAGCGACGTAGCCCGTTGCTAGCACTAACTGAACGTGAGCAGAAAGACTCAGGACAGAAAGTCAGACGTAGGAGCACTTACAGCATCTGTTCAATTTTAAGTTTAAATCAAGCAGCAACCTCCGGTCTTGAAAAATAAAGGCAATATGGAAGTGCAAATTCCTGCAGTTCGTCGAGTGTCTGCTTAGACACATGACTGGCAAAAAAACTGTTTTTACAGCATAAATAAACATGTTTACAGCCTGGTACAAAAAACTAAATAGGTCTCAGTAGTTATTAGGGATGCAACAATACAGTCAGCCAGAGGTACCTATTGAACCGTGGTTCAATATGTACCTCGGTTTTTGGTCACGGCTCACGGTTCGGTTCAGTTCTGACGGGCCGGGCCGTTAAAATGTTTCCAGTGTTAAGTATTTTAGGCAAATTTTACAGAACATCAAGGTATTTAGAAAGAGAGCTACTTTTTTCATTTTAAAACTATTTATTTTACTTTGAAGCAAAACAAATTCAGTTGCTCTCCTTTCAGCCTATTGCAAAGTCAGATTTGATTTGAACATGAAGTAAACTACAATTAGGCTTTCGGTAAAAGAGCGTTTGCGGCCGTTAATATACCTGGACGAGTGGGAAACACTGCGCTCTACATGTTTTCCAGGCGCACACACTCGCTCCACACTATCAGAAACTGGTCTGTAGTGTAACGCTACTTGAGCAATGACTGCTGCCTGTATGATCTATAGACTGTCATTGTACCGGCCCTGGCGGCCCTTCAGGCAGCCCGGCCCACCGGGAATTGTCCCGGTTCTCCTCACTGCTCGCCATGCTAAAAAGTAATGTTGTTGTCAGCGTCACCAAACTTTAGCGCGTGGTGATTGGCTATTAACTCACTTGGCGGACGGGGTTTCCTCATCCCTGCGTGCTGACACACGCAGGCACACGCAGGCACACGCAGAGTACAATGTGCGGAAACTAGTTAAATGCCAAACTGTTAAAACCGCAATTCACAAGTTAGTATTGAACCGTGGATGCCGTACCGAACGGTTCAATATTTTATTGAGAATTGTTGCATGCTTAGTAGTTATTGTCATCATGGGCACACACTGTACGGGGGGGTGAATTTATTTAAAACGGCTCTGTTTTGATTTGGAGAAGGATACGTGTTATCCATAGTTAGGCGCGAGGCTGACATGATTGACAGGTGCGCACGGTGTAACGGTTTGTCAAGAGGGTTAAAATCTGCCTCAGCTCCAGCTCTCAGCCTGTTGTTAGGTTGACTGAAAGTTAGACTGAGACAGGATTTCAGATGGGTGACGTCACTCAGGCTTCATGTCTGTTCACAAAATGATGCACACACAGATCTTGTGGAAACCACCAGAAAGTCTAGAGTATGGTTGGCAAAAGTTTGGATACTTTGATCCTCTTTGATTCCTCATGTTCTCAACCGATACTATCTCTGATATTTTGATAATCTATACTTTAAAAAGTCTATAAAAAGTATCAAAGCTAAAAATAAAAAAAACATATCTTCAGTCATCATCAATTCAATCAATCAATTTTTATTTGTATAGCATCAACTCATAACAAGTGTTATCTCGAGACACTTTACAAAAAGCAGGTTAAAAGACCTTACTCTTTGTTATGTTACAAAAAGCAGGTAAAAAGACCTTACTCTTTGCTATATTACAAAGACCCGGCCTATCCATCATGAGCACTTTTAGCAAAGCAGCAAAAGTTACAGTGGTAAGAAAAAACTGCCTTATTAAAAGGCAGAAATCTTCGGCTGGATCCCCGGCTCATGATGAAACAGCCTTCACAGGCCTAGACCGGGCTTGAAGGGGATGGGGGAAGAGATGGGATAAGATGCAGGAAGAGGGATAGGGAGCAAGGGGGTGGGGGGGGGGCAGACCGTCCATCAACAATCTGGTGGGGATGGGGTGTGTGGGGTGTGTGTGTGTGTGTGCGGGGAGGGGTGTTGTTCTGGCAGGCCGTCAACCAACGATCTCGAGGAGTCTAAGAGGTGCCACGATTAAAAAAGGGAGAGCTGTCTAAATTGAACATATATGTTGGCAAGGTTTTTTTTCTGCAACTGAGACAGTCTGCAGAAGCTTTCCTGCAATTTTAGTCAATTAAAAAAATTAAAGGTTACCAAATATTGACTGCCTAGGACTGGCATCTGTGTTGCCATGGTATATAAACAGGTATCAATAATGTTTAATTTTTACTGGTTTTGTATCCAAGTTTCAGATTCTGGTATGTTGACTGCTCTTGAAGTCCTGAGTTATTCAGTAAAGACAGGCCAATCTCTGCGCTCTGATATTTCAGTGTTACCTCTGAACAAGGAGCAACATGACAAGCTGTTTGAAACTCAAAATGTTGAAAGTGACCACATACATGTGATGGATCCAAATCAGACATTTTACAGATTAGCATTGAATTGTGAGTACCAGTTCAGACATGAGACTGATGGTGACTGATAAGAAGTTTGTGTGGTGACCATGTAAAAAAAAAGAAAAAAAAAGGTTTCACAGAGGATGTAGTTACTGCTGAAGCTGCCAAACTTCTGCTGCACTGTTTCAGATTTACACAATGAAGGATTTGTGTCGTTAGGTCTCTGATGTTCACTTCCACATACAGTATGGTGCATTCACCTGTAAAAAACGAAGTAACACAGACAGCATGATATCACAAAGGGGGTCAGATCAGAATGTGCGCCGCACTGACTTTAGCTCCCGATTAACATACAAAAGCAGATGCTGATGAATATCTTGGAACACGATGTCAAGAACCAGCACTGATCCGTCTCTCAAATACAAAATAGCCCTCATTAGTGAGTGATGTGTACATGTAGAAAACTCTGATTGTGGTTAGAAGCTGTTCTCTGTGCTGTTTAACAGAGTCACAGCGCAGCACACAGAGGCTCGGTGCTGCGCGCTCTCCTGTCTGACTCGTCGGCCGGTTATTAATAGGATGTGGACGGCTCTTGTCAGGTTGCCTTCCTGTAAATATTGCATGATTTCCCTGAGGTGGGCCTGAGAGGAGAATGCAGCAGAGATGGTTTCAGACGGGGCGGTGCAGGTGCTCCGAGGACAGGTTTGGACTTCAGATAAATCCTTACGGCGAGCTTACATGAGAAGCCACCAGGTTATTTTTGACCCCGGTGGAACCTGCCTGAGAGCCTCCTCCCTCTGTGTCAATAGCACAAGGTGTGCTCCATACCTGACCTGCTTCCCTCCGGCTCTCACATGACTGCATTATTGTCATTTTTCTGTCGGCTTTGTCTACTTGGTTTCAGCTTCCTCGTGTCTTAGTTTTTTTTTGTTTTTTTTTACTGCGGTTCACTCAGAAACTTTTTGTCCAAAGGTCACCTTGCTGGTTAAACTTGACTTTGACACTTTCACATTTCTGGCTGCAGGCTCTCTTCCTGAAAGATGACTGAGATGTATGTGTGTTTTTTACCAGCAGCAGTCTCATGACCCCTGCTGTACACTCAAATAATGCTCTCAGCGTTATCACCCACGATGCATCACACTCGCTCATGAGAGTTGATGACATTCAGAGACACTGTGACACTGACATTTTTGAAGGTTTGCCTCCACCAGTATTATCAGCAGGTTATGGGCCTATTCAAGTTCAAACCATTATCTTTGTATAAGTATTTTCTGATCTACCCCGATATTAAAACCTTTTACAGAATATTTAATGGATAACAAATTCACTTTGTGATCTAGAAACTACAGTTGTTCAGAAGTTATGGTAGTCTTTCTGATGATCCTCAGTATTGTTAGGGCTGAGCGATACGGACCAAAAATCATATCTCGATATCTCTTAGCTGAATCATAATACACAATATTTATCTCTAATATTTTCTGTAAAGAAACAACAAAAACAAAGTCAGTCCTAAGTCAATGCCACATGGGCCACATTCCAAATGTCACACTGACACTTTATGAACAGCCGGCTGCACAGCGTTTTCTGAGTTTCACTCAGAGAGGGATATTGGCGGCGCAAGGTGACGAGGGAGAGAAAGTGAGAGGAGAAATGAACTGGCAGCTCTACGGAAGAAACGCGTAACATTATTTTAACAACAACAAACTTCTATATTGATATGAACGATAATCTCTCACCCTGTATTTCGTTTGAAAATATATCAATTTCTCAAAATCCGCTAAGTAGTGTGTTATCACATATATTCCTTGATTTGTGTTAATAGCGTGATTCTTACTATACTATACTGTTTGTTATGAATCATTATTATTATTACTCATAGCTGTTTTCCTCCTCCATCAGGCCCTGTTGTCTACGTGCTGGACTTGGCCGACCGGCTTATCTCTAAGGCCGGCCCCTTCGCTGCAGCCGGCATCATGGTGGGCTCCATCTACTGGACGGCTGTGACCTACGGAGCGGTCACTGTCATGCAGGTATTAGCAGCAGTCTCTCTGTTTTAACAAAAAGCACAGGTGTTGAAGTTCTTTTTTTACTCATTAGAAGGTTACAGTGAACTATTTTTCTTACTGCTGAATTTTCCCACTCTGACATCCCGTCTGCTCTCCAGGTGGTTGGCCATAAGGAGGGTTTGGACGTCATGGAGCGGGCAGACCCTCTGTTCCTGCTCATCGGCCTGCCCACCATCCCCGTCATGCTGATCCTGGGGAAGATGATCCGCTGGGAGGACTATGTGCTGCGTCTGTGGAGGAAGTACTCCAACAAACTGCAGATCCTCAACAGCATCTTCCCAGGTCAGGACACACTCACAGATGTGTTCATGTGTCCTTTCTGCTGCTTTAACTGTTGGTGATGAAGTAATACAACACAGTTCTGTGCTGCTCTCTGCAGGAATCGGCTGCCCAGTTCCTCGTATCCCGGCGGAGGCCAGCCCTCTAGCGGACCACGTGTCAGCCACGCGGATCCTGTGCGGTGCCCTCGTCTTTCCTACCATCGCCACCATCGTCGGGAAGCTCATGTTCAGCAGCGTAAACTCCAACCTGCAGAGGACCATCCTGGTGAGTCCAGCCTGAAAGTACCCTCATCTGCATTACATATGCAAATATATGAAAGAGGGGCTACAGGGGTAAGTGTGAGCTTAGCATCACAATCAGGTGTGCCTCTGAAGGTATTCACTGCTGTTGATGATAAATATTAATTACATGTCGTATAAAACGTCGAGAATAAGCCCTGAATATCATGTTGCTAAAGATGTGCAATGGCTGGATGTTGATTACCTTCAAACAAACCTGGACTTACTGTTTGGTCTTATTGCTAAGCTAACAGCTAACAGCCAAGCTTGACATTCATTTGCACAAATATAAAAGTCATATCTAAGATGAGCTTGACCATAGATGGATTTTGCAGTCAACAGTTCAGGCTTCTGTTTTTCACATCATCATGTTTCTCATTTGTGGATGATGTCATTACATCATGTCGAGTGTGATGTTGAAACTGAGCACGTGTCAGGGGACGACAGCCATCTTTAAAGTCTTTATATGTGATTTTTCACACTTAAATGTAATAGAAATCAAGTATATCCTCTGAAAATAACTCTGTGAGTCATGACTGTCTACAATGGGTGTAACACCCGAGTCCCACTGTCTGTGATTTTTTTTTGTGAGTCCTATCTTCAGTTTGTTTACATCTCCAGGACGGCCAGCTGACTCCTCCCCTCGTGTATAAAAGTTGTTTAATTGAGGGACTAGAGAAAAGAAGAATAACATACTGTACTCACTGCTTAACTGTGTTTCTAGATCACGCTCATTTCAGGTCAATTTACATGCAGTGTGAAGATACGAGCATGATAAAGATCACTAGCATTAGCATGCTAACACAACAATGCAGCGCAAGTTGTTTTGGTTTCATGCTGGTGCTCAAGGGCGACATCTACTGGATCAACAAATCGCATATAAAGCCTTTAAACTAAATAAAGAACCCTACATTTAGAGCATCGCTATCATGTCTCAGATATTCTTTAAATTGGATTAAAGGGATCAAAAGTATTTGAAGTATTCACATCAGAATACTTTGTTCCTGGTACAGATGAAACTCAAAGAGCATCAAACCTCATTTACCTTCTGGTCAACCAATTAAAATATAAGAGTTGAAATAATGTCTGCAGTTTGAATATTTAATCTTTCTGGAATATCACGTTTATCAAAGACACCAGAGCAGTGCAGTTCTCCATAAGGACGTGTTGATGATTGATTATAATTTACTGTGTAGGTGTGTTGTTCCTACATGCTGTTCTTGTTTTACCTCTTGTAGTTTAAAGGGAACACATATACATATCTTAATAATAATAATAATAATAACAGATGATTATAGAACCAAAGAGAAGCTCGTCGTCTTCTCTCAGCTGGAGGTGAGAACAGAGGACGTAACCAGAGTGTCTCGTGTGATCTGAGCTGCAGCGACACAACTGAACACTTTGTCCTCATCCACTGAACCCTGTGACTGACTGAAAGACAGGCAGGCAGATACATAAACAGACAGGCAGGCTGCTGACTGAATGCTCTAAGGCAGAAAAAGGGAAGAGCGCTATCATCAAACACCTTCCATAGAAACATTTCTAACTTTGTTTAAATGATAACAAATCAGACCAGAACTTAACCCCTCCCCCAGGTGGGTGACACTCCCCACAGCTAGGTGTTTGCACCATCTCAGCCGTCACACTCAGACTGCAGAGCTGATGCCATTAAAGTCTGAGTGTTCAGTACTCAGGGTTAAGGATTGGGATTGGGATTGAGTTTAATTTAGCTGCACATGGCTCACACATATGATCTGAAATGTAGAGCTCGCACATATGTCTGCACATCTGCTCTGTACTTTTTTTTTACACAGCATCTGTGTTTGTAATGTCTCTCCTGAATCCAAACAAATCCCAATAGCAGTTGTTTAGTTCTTTGCCACCGCACTTTTCCCTTTACCACATTTCCTGGTTCCTCTCTCGTCCTCAGCCAAATAATCTGAGAGTAGCTGATGTCTTTCTGGAGCGCTAAAGAATCGAACCTGTACACAAAAAGTCTTGTTACATCGGGACGAGCCATGTCGACTTAAGTAACTTCTATAAAGTTTGCACCACAGTCGAGCCCTTGTACAGGTTTCTGGAGGATCTCCTCTCTGTCTGTTTGTGTTTATTGGATGTTAGAATCTCTCATCCGTGTGACAGCCGGCATGAAAATGAAAGAAGATCTTTCTGAGTGTGGAGAATCTTTGATGTGTGGCGCTGAATCGCTCTGTTTAAAAACGCTTTACTTCCATTCTTTCAGGGAGGAATCGCCTTTGTGGCCATCAAAGGGGCGTTCAAGGTCTACTTCAAACAGCAGCAGTACATGAGACAAGCCCACCGCAGGATCCTTAACTTCCCCCCCGAGCAGGAGGAGGCCTGAGGAGGCTCCGAGGAGGATCTGAGGACAGCCGGGTGGAGCGGGGAGTAAAAAGAAAAAAAACTGTCAGACTGTGAACAGGAAGTGCTGATAAAACATTTAGCATCAGTGTCACCCTTTATCTCCCTCACACCTTTCACCCCTTCTGGACTGACTCCTCCACAACAACATGGCACCTTTTTATAAACCTCCATGAGCTGAAGCCCGACTGGAGCACGATAACACACACGCACACTCACACACCTGTGGTGGATGTGCTTAAACAATCACATGACTAACCCTTATTGTGAACTTACTGTATTTTAAAGGAGGAGTGCGGGGCATGTGTAATTAGGTTTTATAATATCAATAATAAATAATCATTGTTTTATAAAGGTTTATTTTGCAGATTTGAAGCCCTGCCTTCGCCAATGTTTGCGTTTCTATCGAGCAAGGAGCGATGTTCAGTGTGGAATGTATTAAAGATGAATGAATAAATCGTGTTTAACCATCGTGACTCAACACAACACACAGACGGAAAGTGAACGAGGAGCTTTGTTTGAACTATTTATTTAAATGTATCTGCAGTGCTCACGTCGTCTGTCTGCAGCTTTATCCCTTGTTTTGTTTTTTTGAACACTTTTATTTGATGTTTAAACCTCAGCCACCATCACATCAAGAACCTGTTGCCGGGAGACCGTCTCCTCCAGACGGACAACATGGAGGCTTCTTTCCTCACGAGGTCGACTTCAGCACTTTTCAGAGGGGAAACAAAGATTCAGTGATGATGGTACTTGTGTGTGCAACCTGAGGTCTTTATCATGATGCAGACTGCAGGGACACTCAACAGAGGAAGTGACAATGTGGAAAGAACTGTGTGAAAACATGAAGTGTCGGTCAGCCAGATGAACCGTGTTTCACTGACTTCATACTGATGTGATCCAGCAGCGTGGACGACTCATATCCACGTGGACGACACTTTTCTCTGACGTCACACTCAGGCTGGGAGGCTCAGATCTTTTGATGTCGTATGAACAGTGTGCCAGCTTCTTAGTGGTGTAATTGTAAATAATCTAACAAACCAATAATCAGCGCTCTCTGATTCATCAGCAACTTAAAAAGATTCAAAGTTCTTATTTCAGGTTCTAACAAAATATTGAACAGCTTATGTTTTCATTAAAACACTTCACAGCTGATATTGTTTTATAGTCGCTTAAAATAATAAAGTTTGAATATAGAAAGTTTTTTCCTCGCTAAAGGTCTCGAAGCTGGAGGGCGTTACATTCTGACACTAGATTTTGTCTTAACAGTAAACCAATGTTTTGTTTTAACTAAGAAGTATTTGGTCCGGTTTCCCTCCAGGTGTCCCAAATCATCAACGCTCCTCTATGGAGTTTAAAAAAAAAAAAATTTTTTACTGGTTATGAAACTGAAATTAACATTGATGCCTCTCGATGAGCTACAAAAGCAAACAAGACAATTAGCATAAAAATGATAGATATTTTAATGATTCTGGACTGCCGCTGTGGGGCAAGTGTCAAAGTTAAGTGTGCTGCAAGCAAGAGGGAGTAACGGTGGCCTAGTGGTTAGTGTGCACGCCGTATGTACAGA